TTTCCAGTTTAGTGTGCCATATATACATTCAAAGAGTGGGTGTGGGTGGTCCATGGGAGTGACGTATGAGGGTAAGACTATCCAAACCAATCCCTAACCTACCCTAAATTTAGAGCAAAATCGTTGGTAAATGAGAAGCTCAACCCCTTAAAACCAGCCCTAACCTTAGCGCTAATTTCCTAGTCCTAAACCTCACCGGCAACTTTCAAATCTAAATTCTGGCCTCCATCCCTTCATGTTACATAAGTCCTACTCTTTCAACCCCTTTCAATCTGAATTCTGACGTTCTATTTCTTACCATAACCCTGCCTGAACTCTAACCCCCTCTAGGCAACAATACTTTAAGCGAAACCGAAGAACGAACTGGTGTGACGTCATTTCAAACAAAATTAGGCCAAAACGTGATGTTGCTCTCAGGAAAAGTTTGCTCTGGCTGATAAACACAGTCTTTCAGATGAGACGTTAAACCGAGATCCTGACACTCTGTGGTCATTAAAAATCCCAGGATGTCCTTCGAAAAAGAGTAGGGGTGTAACCCCGGCATCCTGGCCAAATTTGCCCATGTTAACATTATACTGCTGCAAAGGTATTTGAAACTTCTTTTAAAATTAATTTTTAACCCTAAGCAAAGAACAGCAAAGATCTTTGCTGTGAGTATACTAGGGCCTTACCCCTGCTGTTGATCCCTCCAGCCCCCAACATTTGACCTAACAAGGGGTCTAATCCTGCTCCTGGAGGGTCACTTTTCTGCAGAGTTTTGTTCAAGCACACTTGGCTGGACGTTTCTATTGATGCTGTAGACCTTGGCTGGCTGGTTCAGGTGTGTTTAGTAAGGGCTAGAGCTAAACTCTGCTGGAAGGTGGCTCACCAGGAACAGGACCGGACACCCCTGACCTAACCCAATCCTAACCCTGCAGTGTTACCTCTGATCCTTCTAGTCCTGAAATTACAGACTTAAAATACTAACTCCAAGCTCTAGTTCAAATCTTGACCCTTAATCTCCATTTCTAATTTCTGTCCTTTATTCCCAACACCCTCTAACCTTCAGACCTAACTCCAATTTCCTACCCTAAACATTATTCCCAAAGCTACACCTAGTTGTCAAATTGTACAGTTACCTAAACTCTAGTAGTGTTTTGAGATCTGAAAGTTATATAGGAAAATCACACATGCTGTGTATGCTGGTTTTGATTTTTTGATTAGGACCTAATGTCTAAAGAGACTTAACACTAAAATTGGACAGTTTAATAGTAATGTTCCAGGACCGGAAAGGTTGTTGGTCCAGGAATATGTACTACTTGGGCAAATCTTGTTAAGATGACAGCAAAATACTCTCCTTGACACTCATGAACTTTTGTATTCTGTATTTTATTAAAATATGATGAAAATGATTTTGTGGTTCCAGGCTGCCAGAAAGGCCGTAAAATGGGTTACAAATGCTTCCTGGCATACCGCGTGTATGAGACCTACACAGATGCATCCAAGAAGTGTCAGGAGCGGGGAGGACGCATGGCTATGCCACGAGATCGCAAGGAGCAGGAAGCTTTGGCTGAATATGTGAAATCAGTATTCCACGGAAACTGGCCTGTGTGGCTTGGGATCAATGACGAGCGTTCTGAAGACCTCTACCTATTTGAGGACACAACTCGTGTCACTTACTTCCAGTGGAGGAAGCACTTCCTGTCAAGCCAGCCAGATGGTGGGAAACGAGAGAACTGTGTAGCCATGTCTTCAGATGACGGAGACTGGTGGGACACCTACTGTGAAAGACGCATGTATTATCTGTGCGAGTTTGATGTTTGACTTTGATACTTTCCTAAATGGCTTCTAATTAAGATTTTTTTTTAAATATCAAGAGCAGCTATTAACTGTTTTATAAACAGTTGTTGCACAGGTAAAATTAGGGCCAGTGAACTTAATGATCCCATGAAATGGTTTGATAAATGAAATTTTCTTTCCTGTTAACATTTTTCCTATTGAAACAGGAAGTGGGAGCAGGAATCTATAAAGGATTAGTTCACTTCCAGAATAAAAATTTCCTGATAATTTACTCACCCCCATGTCATCCAAGATGTTCATGTCTTTCTTTCTTCAGTTGAAAAGAAATTAAGGTTTTTGAGGAAAACATTCCAGGATTTTTCTCCATATAGTGGATTTCAACGGGGACCAACGGGTTGAAGGTCCAAATTGCAG